TGGATGAGGGGTATAACGATGAGTCCCGAGATGGGTTCTTGGAACTCGGCGGAGGGCAGGAATGATTTTGACATAACGTTGATGAAGGTGAAGGTGGTGGAATAAGCGATCTTGCTGATTTTGAGTTGTAGATGTGGGAACGGACCGGACGGTGGTGATGGTATCATCTGTTTTATTGACGATGAACAGTGTGTATTTAGCATAAGGGCGTGTTTTGGTGTTTTAAGTGGTTTTGGGTGTAAAGGTAAAGGGTTGTGTGGTCATTTAAAGAAATTTGAGATATCACGTGACCCATTATGTGCACCTTTACGGTCAAATTCAACTGGCTTATCATCGAACGGGGTTAATTGCACCAAATTAGTTAGTTTAGTGGGGTTATATACCAAATTAGTAGATCAGGGGGGTTTTCTGCCAAATGGCCAATAGTTGAAGGGGTTTTTTTGCACTTTACCCTAGTTTTTAGGATAAAGTGTATAAAATACCCATACAGTATGCTTAGAGTGTGTATCACACCCCTTATGTGATAGACGACGTCATTTCGCTTTGTTTTCATTTTCGTTATTTCACAAAATATGTTATTTTTAATAAAATGCAAAATTTATATATAAGGGAAATTTAAGCAAACTCAACCTTAAATGTGTCAGGAATGATCTATTTGCACAAATTGAAACTTTATGGGTATGTTTTTGTACATGAGGAATATGATATGCACGGTAAGCAAACGACAGATGTGTTTTATGCACTTGACCCTATAAGTAAAATAGAGTAAGAAATTAGAATGTACCTAAGTATAATATTTATACGTGCACTCATTCACATATAGGATATGCAATAAGAAAACTTAAAATTATAGTAAGTAAAAATAACGTGTGTACTATTGGATTGTGGCTCATAAAGCACAATTGGTTGCATATTATGCTTCGTTTGGTAGGAAGGAAAGAATAGTGGATAATGGATAAAAAAAAAAAAAAAAATCCTTCGTTTGGTGGAAAAGAAGTAATGAGAGAAGAAAATATGATGGAAGATGGGGAAAACAAAAAAAGAAAAGAAAAAAGGCAAGGGTATTATATAAAAAAAAAATTTTAATTACAAAACTTTCCTTATAATTAACACACTATATTATCTTATCTTCTAACAAACAAAATAAGGTATCATCTCCCGGGGTAGAGCCAGGATTTTAGTTTAGGGGCAGTGGTTAGGAAAAAATATATATTTAAAGGACTATAAGGGAAAAAAAAAAAAAAGGAATAAGAAAAAAAAAAGAAGTAAGAAAACTGACAACTTAAAAAGGAAAAAAAATTATAATTTAATTTAACATGGAAAATATAACATTTTTTTTTAAGAAATTTAAAGAGTAAATGAGGAAAAAATTAGAAAATTTTAAAAACTAATAATTTTAGGGGGGCATTGTATAAATTTTTTCACATATATACATGTAAAATAGAAAGAAAAAAATAACCATATATATAATGGGAGGGCCTAGGTTAGGGGCAGGTGCCCAGGCATGCATTGCCTCCGCCCCTGATTATCTTATCCTCTTCTCATACATCTAATCAAACAAAATGAATTAATGACACAATATATTCCATAGGGATATCTCACTCATATTCTTTTCCATCCCTTTTATTCAAATTTCTTCTTTCATACCAAACGGGGCATTAGTGGATGTGGTTGCACTTGCCTTGTGAGTGCGGGATGTGATTTTCTTTTCCGTTTTGTAAGGTTGAAGACTTGTGGAGTAAGGTTGAAGATCTGGGGTGGAAGTTGTAGCTTATTAGATATCTATTTTTTTGTTGTGATTGATATCCTTAGTAGTTAGTAGGCAAGTCGTGGAAATTATTGTCCAACAAGAAATTAGTAATTGAACACTATTTAAATAAAATAGAGAGGAAAAAAAAGGGTTTGAGTGTCTAAGGAGATAAAATAGTGGGCAAGTGTTGGAGGACGTAATATCATAAGGAATGAGTTTGCTTTTAACTGTAAATCAATAGTGGGCTCGTTATGAGCCCAAAAAGAGTCGCTGGTTTGGTTGAGTGCATTTATTTACAAGTTGTAATTTTTCTCTTGATTCATGATAGTGAAAGTTCTCGAAATATAGGCATACCCTAATAATTAGGTGAACCATGTAAAATATTATGTTATGCATGAGTGTCTATGATTGTAATATTTATATATGTTGTGACAATGATACTTTTACTATCAACAACAACTAATCAAGAGCTAGTTGGAGGGTGTTAATATTCCTAACATATATGTATATTATAAAGATAATTTGTTATTTCTGTAAAACTTTCAAACTTAAATATTAACACTCGTATTCTTTTGATAAATCGTATAAAACACATACCAAACGAATTATGTATTTATATTTTTAAAAAAAATTTGGTTACACAAATATTGATAAAAAGTTTATATTGTCTTTAATTCTTTTATTAAAAGGAAATTAATGTAATTATAGTAACATAATCGATATTAAACCTAACCATTTTGTTTATCTCATCTAATAAATAATAGGACAATTGCATAAAACACCCCTAGAGTATATTCCACGTAGCACTTTTATCCCTATTTAAAAAAGTGTGCAAAAAACATCCATAATATTTTCACATTGTGCAAAAATACCACTTTGACATAAATTAGTCTTGTAATACATGTTTTGCCCTTTTTACTTTTTCGAAAATGCCCAAGTGAATATATATGTTACTAATCTCATAGTATGGGGGTGTTATGTGCACATTATTTTATGTTTTTGTTTTGAAACTTTTTTCTATGTATATATCTCTAATTTTTTTTTTTTTTTTTTTGTAAAGTACAAACACACCCTCTGAGGTTTGGCAAAAGGACACTAAAAGAAAACTTACCTGTTTTTTGGATAAAAACTCCTCATGAAGGTTAAAAAATAGACAAAGACACTCATTTACATGAGAAATTGACCAAATTACCCTTTGACCTTTTATGAGACTTTTTTAACTTTACAATTTAATAAATTGGACTAATCTACCCTCATGAACAATTTATGCATTAAAAAAAAGAAAAACTTTATATTGTTCACTTTTTTTATTTTTATTTTTTATTTACTTTATAAATGTCCTAGCTTCTTAAAAATGTAGATGTGTAAAATGATTTTTTGATCCAATACATATATTTATAATAAATTATATTTGTTGTTACTTTTTTTCTTTTTCTTTTTTATTTTTAAATTAAGATGCTAAATTATTTCATCTAAAAAAATTAAACCAATCTATTTTTCTTAAAAATAAAAAATATGGTACCAATATAATTTTATGCATCTTAAATTATATATCAAATATTATGCATTTCCTAACATAAAAGAAAATAGGTACCAGTATAACTTTATGCATGCCTTTATTTTTTTTTTTTTCCCTTTGTTTTATTATTATTATTTTTTTCCCTTTTTATGTTGGGAAATGCATAATATTTGATATATAATTTAAGATGTATAAAGTTATATTGGTACCGTATTTTTATTTTTAAGGAAAAGAGATTGGTTTAATTTTTTTAGATGAAAGAATTGAGCATCTTAATTTAAAAATAAAAAAGAAAAAGAAAAGAAGTAATAACAAAATATAATTTATTTGAAATATATGTATTGGATCAAAAAATCATTTTAGATGTCTACATTTTTAAGAAATTGGGACATCTATAAAGTAAAAAAAAAAAAAAAAAATGAACAATATAAAGGTTTTTTATTTTTATTTTTATTTTTTTTAATGCATAAATTGTGCATGAGGGTAGATTGGTCCAATTTATTAAATTGTAGAGTTTAAAAAAATTTCCTAAACGGTCAATGGGTAATTTGATCAATTTTTCATGTAAAGGGTGTCTTTGTCAATTTTTAAACCTTTAGGGGGTATATTTGTTCAAAAAATAGGTAAATTTCCTCTAAGTGTCATTTTGCCAAACCTCAAGGGGTGTGGCTGTACTTTACCCTTTTTTTTTAAAAAAAAAAACTTTAAGAATTTTTGAGATTTCAATTTACTATTTTTTATCAAATTTTTTTTTCTTTCTTTCTTTATTTTTTTGGTACCAACATTGTTAAAAAAAAATATAAACAAAAGAAAAAAAATCCCAATATTAGTGTGCATTGGTTTTTGGAGTTCGAAAATATTGTTTTAAAGTTTGCACTTTATTTTCATTTTTTATTTTCTATTTTTATCTTTACTTTTTTTTATACTTTTCTTTTGTACTTTTATTTTCTATTTTTATCTTTATTTGTCAATTGACGGCGTCCTCCAATAGTGTTATTTTCGGTCATTTTACAAAAATATATTTTTATTTATTTTATAAAATGGTTCAGTAAGAATAATTTAGTCAATTTAGGGTTTAAATTTATTTTGAACCAAATTGAAACTTTAGGAGTATTTATTTGAACGCTAGGGGCATCTTCCAATAATGTCCGATTAGGTCATTTTATAAAATTATTTATTTTTATATATTTAATAAAATAGTTCAGTTAGTATAATTTAATCAATTTAGAATTTTAATTTGTCAAGAGAATCTATTTACATCAAATTTAATTTTTTAGAAATGTTTATTGCACTTGACTACTTGAGTGTGTGATTTGGACCTTAAACATATTCAGGGGTGTAATAATATATCCTTACATATAATACCATGTATTTAGGTACTCAGCTGAGTATCAATGGAATAATTTAATTATGTAATTATATGCATTTTGGTAAAACAAATAAAAATGCAAATCTATAAAATGTTTTATAATAATTTTAAAACTATGAATACCTCAAAACTTTTTCAATGTGATCCAATGTTGGGATACAATTGAAGAAAATATTATAAGAATAAACATTTAATATATATATGCACGTTTTTATGATTTAATTTTTTATATTAAAGTTTAGAAAAAATAATATTATCCTTGTATGTATTCCTTCTCATTTATTTTTACTTTTTTATAATAGTCATTTACTTTTTATTTTTTATTCCTTATTACACTAAATATGTTCAAAACCAGAAGAAAAGTAAATAAAAAGGAGGAAATAGAAAGTAAATAAAAAGGAGGAAATAGGGGGAAAAAAAAAAAAAAAAAACACAGCGTTTTATCTACTCTAGGTTACCCATCGAAACAACCAAACCAGTAAATTTGAATTGATCGGAGGTGCGATCAAGTGTGTCCGATAAGAAATTGATTCTTAGTATCATCGTCCAGTTGATTCTCCACTGATTATATATATATATATATGCATATATATTGATGATCAAGTGGGTTCAAAGGGAGTTTGTCCTTAGATAGATTAAATCAGTTTTTGAACAATTTGTTCCTGGGTTTTGTTTGGTTTTAGAAGTATTTTGTTGGGTTGAATCGTGGTTTTCGATCAGAGTGATATGTTGGACTTCAGGGAAGTTGATACATTGGGGCTAGGGTTTTGGGGTTAAAGTCAGAATTAGGGTTAGGGTTAGGGTTAGGGTTATGGTTGGCTTTGGGGGTGAGATGGAGGAAACAGAGCTCGAAGAAGGCGAGGCTTACAAGGACGATACACGCATTGATCCTGACGTAGCTCTCTCTTACATTGTAAGAATTTCCCTCTGTTTGTTTAACTAGTTAAATAGTATTTAATCTGTCTGAAAGGATTCTTCAAATTGCTGTCAAATTGTTGTTGCAATGCTTATGCAATTGGTGTCCGCAGACAGCTGTTTGATTTCGGTAATAATAAGCATTTCCAAGTTGAGCATAAAATTGTGGAATGCACCTACTGTACATGAAATTTTGAGTGAAAGTGCGTGCAAATTTGTTAAATTTCATTAAGATGGCTTAGTATTATCTAAACATGTCAGGGAAATTAAAAAATAAAATAAAAATAAAATCATTTTTTTTTAATAGGATGAGTGAGCAATCAAGCGCACACACACCCATTTGTTCCGGCGGGGACTAAGATGAAGTGATGTTGCTATTCTGCATTACAGAATGTTTTTCAATTCTGCCTGGAATTATGTTTTACTGTATCACATTGGGGACCAGAATCAATTAATTTCACTGCTCATGCTTTTACATGTGTAATGGCATTAGTAACTATTTGGCTTATTTTTCTTGAAGGATGAAAAACTTCAAAGTGTGTTGGGTCATTTTCAGAAAGATTTTGAAGGCGGGGTTTCGGCAGAGAATTTGGGTAAGTTACCCAAAATGGGATTTAGATGAAGAAGAGAAGTGTAAGTGCCTTTCCCTTCTCTAAAAATGATGGTGTGGAATTTATTTGTCTTGACAGGGGCTAAATTTGGTGGATATGGTTCATTTTTACCTACCTATCAGCGGTCTCAACCAAAGAGTCCACACAGAGTTCAGAATCATAGCATTCCAAGATCTCCCAACAATTTGCCCGTGGAGGTATATGGAAAATTTCCTTCTTATTTTTTGATCAATTGGTAGGAAGGAGGAATATTTGGCTGTCTTTTGTCAGCTTGGGAAATTCTAGTTTACTTGAGAACTGTGGGTTTTGTTACCATACAGGGCGCCCCCCAGAATTCCACAGCACTGTCAGATGCACCCTTATCTAAGAGGCTTGACACTGCTACCCACAGTTTGCAGTCATTGCATACTGCAAGGGTCGCATCTGGGGATGTTTCAGCCATACAAGTTCCTTGCTTGTCTTCTGGTCAAGTTGCTGACAAGTTATGCATGAAATTTGAACCTTCTTCAAATAAGTCAATTTATCCAACTAACCAGAGAACACTAAAGGTTCGAATCAAAGTTGGTTCTGATAACAAAGTGCCGAAAAATGCGGCAATTTATAGTGGTCTCGGGCTTATTTCTCCATCATCGTCAACGGGGAACAGCCAGGAGGAAAGTGGTGGGATAATATTAGAATCTCAAGAGCAAAGTGAATCTCCCACCAGTATTCTTCAGGTAAAACTGCTTTGTTGGTTTTCATATATCATACTTCTTTTACTGGATGGACCTAACTGGACCTGGTTGTGTTTCTGGATATTTTCATGTTTAGATTATGACATCTTCACCTGTTCCTGGGAGCCTACTGCTTTCGCCTCTCCATGACAGTGTGCTTTGCTTGATAAGGAAGGACAAACTTCCACAGAACAGTAAGCCTGTGCCTGCCCTCAAAAGCAGTCAAGAGCTTTCTACCGTGTTAGTCAATGGAGTCAACGGTTCACCTTTCATGACGAGGGATGGGAGAGTGTCAAAAGAGAAGAAAGCAAAGTTGGCGAAGAAGAAGGAAATTTTGGTAGAATTGAAACCTGGGAATGGTATTGTTTTTGAGGATAATATGACCGCCGTTGTGAAGAATAATACAGAAAATGAAACAGTGGAAAATGAGCAGTGTTTCTCCAGTGACATGAAACTCCAGCCTCTATCCAATTCAACATGTGATGTTGGGGACATGGTCAAAGGTGGTTTTACTGCAGCCGAAGCTTCCTGGGAGGCTGAGAAGGGTGTCTTGGTGAAGGAAAGTAAGGCTGATAAGGATGGAATGGAAGACGGATTATCATATACTGATTCTGGGAAGGAAGAGTCCTTGGAGTCAATATCTGGCCAACATGGTAAGTATGAGAAGCAAGAAGCTAGGGGTAATTGGGTGGAGAAAACCGGAGATCACAGAATGAGAAGTTCCCATAGGAATGTTTCAATTGATGATGACCGGAGCAAATCTAGCAAAATTTATAGCCCATTTAAAGCTGGGTCTGATGTTTCTAGGTGCAAGGAAGATCCTAATGTTTGGACCATGAATCATCTTAAAGCAAAGGTTGTTCAGAAGTCTACTTCCCATGAACAAGATGAAAGAATGCCTCGTGGTAGGAAGTCGGCATTTGAGGGCAACAGGAAGTCAAAGGGAAGCCAAAGTAATGCTAAGGTGGCTTCTGATTTGGCAGAGCAAAGCTTGATGGTTGGAGTTTCTGTAGTGTCAAGTGACAAGAAGAAAGCTAGTAAAATGCATAATTTAAATTTAAAGTCACAAAAGGATATTTACAAGGCACATGATAAACATAGAGATGTGTTAGAGGACACAAGACGAGAGCAAATGGGTAATCAAATGGATCGATTTCAGAGGTGTACTGGTGAGAGTGGAAAGGACTCTGAAGGTGGGGCTGTTGATAAAGAGCTACGTGCTTCCTCTGAAAAATTGAAAGGGAGATCAAGTTATAAGAAAGCTGATAACCAGCTGACATCTGAGACATTCCTGAAAGAGGATGGAAACGATTACCCTCCTACCAGTGGGGGACTTGCTTCTGAGTTGGAACCAACTTTGGCACCTTCTGTAGTTATTCAAGAAAATTGGGTCTGTTGTGACCGATGCCAGACGTGGCGTCTTCTACCATTTGGTACGAAGCCTGAGCAACTTCCTGAGAAGTGGTTGTGTAGCATGCTTAACTGGCTGTAAGTTCCTTTCTGGAATATTCAGAACTACACGTATTCTGTTGAATTAGATTAATGTCATTTTACAAGAGTTTTCTGATAAAAGCAATATGTTTTGTTGCAACTCTCTCTCTCTCTCTCGCTCGCATACATATGCACAACAGACTCTCTCTACACAGGGAAAGGCATATACTCAGACGTGGTACATTTAAATTCTAAATATGTCACCTTTTGTAAATGTTTGCACAGGCCTGGAATGAATCGATGTGATATCAGCGAGGAAGAGACAACAAGAGCTCTCAATGCATTGTACCAACTTCCGCTTCCTGGAAGTCATAATGGCCTTCAAAATCATGCTGATAAAATTGTAACTGGAGGAAATTCAGCTGAAGTTCAGCATTTTGACCACAACCACAAGAATCCCAATTCACATGCCGTACCTAAACGAGGAAAGAAGAAACAGGTTTCAAAAGAAACACCCAACATGGCTAGTAATGGTGGCCAGATTCAGCTTTCCAACTTAAAAAAGAACCCACAACAAGAGGCAGTGAAAAGCAGAAGCATTAATGACATGAACAACTCTAGTGTTCAGCATTTGAGCAAGTCTTGCAACTTTGCTGTGGAAAAAAATAATATTAAACAGAAAGAGAAGCATGAGAATGGAGGTATATGAGAGCTGACATTTTTTTAATGCTTGTTATGCTACTTCACGTGACAAAATGTATTCTGTTTTCTGATATTACGTATTTGCAGCTGATGTGACAAGGAAAAAGCCAAAAAGCAAGAGAGAGGCTGAACAGTATGCATACGGGGCTAGAAAGAAAATCAAGACCGAAGGTGCAGTTGATACCAATAAGTATTGGAATTCGAAACATGATGAGTACCTTGTTAAGGCGGATTTCAGTTCGAGTGTTGAATTGCCAAATAAGGTAGCTGGTACGAGTATGCAGAAACACAATGGAGATTATTATTCTAAGGATGCAAAGTGTGACACCAAGAACATATTACAAATTTCTGTAAACAAACCGGGAGACAGTGTTCAGATCTCTCGGGATACTGGGTCCTTGGATATGAAAAGTTTCAATGGAAGGGAAATGTCTTTGAAGAAAAGAAAATTGGACTGGCATGATAGTCAGAAATATTTAGAGACATTGCAAAGTAGTGGGAAGCATCTGCCAGACATCAAGTTCTCTGCAAAAGAGGAGCCTGTTGATGGTGAATTCAGAAAGGAAAAGAAATACAGGGTGTCTAGAACTGAGGAGGAGTCCAGTACAAGTAAGGATGATGACAGATCAACCCGAAAAGGAAGGATCACCAGAATCCTCTTGTCAGGTAGTAGAGATAATGCAGTTCATGGTATGGAAGAAATTAGGAGTATGGAGAGGGATCAGCAGCCAGGGAAACATAGATCAAAAGTGGCATCTAGACCAACCTTGGATGATGTAGATTCTTTGAAAAGGGATTTGGGGTCTGAACAATTTTCAACGGCGGCCACTTCAAGCTCTTCTAAGGTTTCAGATTCTCGTAAAAACAGGGCGAATTTCCGGGAAGCGAATGGCTCACCAGCAGAGTCAGTTTCCTCATCTCCCTCGAGGACTTCCAATCTAGACAAGCTTTCACCAGCCAGAGGGGACATTGTAGGGACAAATGATGTTAGAACTGATGATTTTCCTATGGTGGCTAACTCAATAAAATCCATGAGTGGGGAAGATAATGTTGAGAGCAATAAACCTCAGACTGCAAGGAAGAAGAAAGTCTCTGGAGTCTTTCATCCTGAGCTTCTTGGATTTCCTGCTCTAGATTTTCGGGACAATAATGTTAGTCACAAATTCATTGGTAAATCTAAATTCAGTGTTAAACCTCCTGAAGTTGAGAATATACATTTGGTTAACACTGATGCAGATACCTTGGAACAAAAAATTTCATGTCCTCGCAATCTGCATACTTCAGACCATTTTAATAATACATTATTTCCGCGATCAGTAAACGGTTCCTCTTTGCAGACTGAGGAGAAGGACATAAGTTCTGGTTCCAATTTTGGAAGAGTTAAGGTGAAGGTCTCTGATCCATCATATGTTCAGGAAGGATTGAGCTCAAAGCAGAAGCTGCAGGGTGAGGCAGTGATTGGCCCCCACCATCGTGCATCATACCCTGAAGAAAGGAGTGATATGAAGTGTAGTATTAAGTCCATTAAAGATGATAACAGTTTTGGTAAGAAAGGTTCTGGAAAATGGGCATATGACAGCAAAAGCAAAAATCAGTTGAAATTTAGAGAAAATGATGGTTCAGATGTGAAATTGGGTGCTCTAAGCAGGGCAGGCGGATCAGTTTCCTCACAGCAGAACCTGATTCAGGATTTTGAGGGTGAAATTACAAAGAAAAACAATTTAATCCAAGTAGAGTCAAGGGGCGGGAAGTCACAAGTGTTCCCACGTCATGCAGGTAAACAAGAAACAATGGCTCGTGTTCAACCAGTATCTGGATTGCAGAACAAAATTGAATTTGATGTACTTTCGGTTGATGCTTCTGGCAATGGTGATGTGTCAAAGGTGTCAAAACAGGCTGGAAAACCTGTAAACCAGAAAAGTTTGGGAAATCTCGTGTCTAATCGGTGGGAGGTCAGGGATGTCAATGCTTCAAGTCCTCAAAGATGGAATGCCTCTGGACATACTGCCAGTAATGCCCTGAAAGAAGCTGAAGATCTCAGAGAGTATGCTGATCAACTTAAGGTCCATCTATATTGGTTTTCTCTGATTTCCTCCCCCGCCAAAGTTGAAGCTTTTTATGCCGGCTTTGCCTTTCTATTTGTCTTAATTCTTGTTATGATTCGTCATGTTTTGCAGATCTCTGGGTTTGATTTTGAATGCAATGAGGCATACTTCCAAGCTGCATTAAAGTTTCTTCATTGTGCATTGCTTCTAGAAACCTGCAATAGTGATAATTATAAACACGGGGAGATGTCTCCAATGCAAATCTATAATAGTACTGCCAAACTCTGCGAGTAAGTAAAGTTTTTCAATGCTGCAGGAAGTGTTGTTTTTTTATCATGGTTTTCCCAATGTAGTAAGGAATATTGTCAATACAATAATGGCTGTCTCAAGAAGATCCCTTTTATACTTGGCTCAACTTGCATGCCAATAGATAAACTGATTTGAAACTTATTGTGAAATATGTTCTGAGTGGGATTTTACCTATTTGTGCCCCTTAAAACTTGGTTACATCAGAGCAGCCGCTGTGGATCTTTTTTCTTTTATCAATTTTTTTTGGTGGATGCAAGAAATAGTATATTTGGTAAGAAACAAGCTCAAAATGTGCTGTGGATTTTTATTCTGTAAGGTTTTTGATGCAATAGTTCTATTAATTTCCAGTCACAGTCGGAACCTTTGACAAGAAGTTGTAGAATAAAAGTATAAGACACCTGCTAATTTTGTTGAGCTCTCAGTATATAGCCTTGACTGATTGCTAATTTGCTACTACTAAACAAAATCCTAGCTTGCCAAGCCGCGATGTATCACTTTATTTCACCCTTGTAATAAACTGTTGATAAATTGCTATGATATTGATATCTATCATCTTAATGTTGAAATATATATCGATACATCAAAAGAACTGTTGAAATTGATACTTGGAGAGAGAGAGAGAGAGAGAGAGAGGGGGGGGGGGGGGGGGGGGGGGGGGGGGGGGGTTATCAACTAGAAAAAAATTGAAACTTGTACTAATGTTTGCAAAAGTTGAACTGTGGAATAGAATTTGAATTATGGTAGGTTTAATGTAACATTAACTATTTGATTTTTATCCCAGCCTCGGTGCTCTACACATTAAATTTCGAAGCAATTTGGCCAATGTTGAGATTTCTGTTGTTGAGTCTATGTGTCCTATTTTCAGAAAATCTTGATTAATTGAAAATTTTCAAGTTGAAACCATCAGTTTTTTCAATATATTTGAACTTTCAAAGCCAAACTTGCAATATATTGTTGATAGATTTGTTATCTTGTAGAGATACTTGATATCAGTAATATTTGATAAATTTCAATAAGTTATTTTTCTGGCAATGGGTGTTTGTGATGAGTTAAATTTCTTTGTTATGACAGTAGTTCAAATGTTTGTTAACTAATTTTTAAGGATTTTAAATTCATGGAGAAAGGGGGTAGAGGTTGTTAGTGTCGCAGCGGTAAGAGGGTAAGAGAGGAAGATCGGTGTTTAAGGATATGGGAGTTTAGAGGGGAATGTGGGTGTAGATAAGCACAGGCTGCACAGCTTTTACTTTATTCTTAATTTGAGTTTTCTAACATACAAAAGTAGAGGGATTTGATGGCCAAAGGTTGACAATTTGTGGATGTGAAGCCAACCTAGTCTTGAATTTAAAAGCATTTCTTATTTGCTAGTTGCTATTTACTGGTATACTGCAATATTTATCAATAATGCCATAAATACTTATCGAAATAATATATGTGATGAATGTGTTCAATTTTAAAATTTTGAAACACATTCATGGATGCTGCGGTTAAAGCTAATTTAATATGTATCACCAGCTTGTAGATTGAGTGTGCGAAAGTTGACACCTCAAAGGGGATAGTTGTAGGGTTAATTTCCGGTTAGGACATTGAGGGTCCAAACAGGTTTAGGAATGTCCAACAATTGTTGACAATATGTCAAAATTTGATAAATTTATTAATATTTATTCCGACATGTAAGGTTGTGTCTAGTTATGTCTAAAAGTGCAGGTCTGACATGAACGTAACCCCTTTATATCACAATTCATTATATTTAGCTTTAAATCTTGTATTACCGTTTCCTACAACTTTTTAAAGTTGTTCTGAAAATTTCCCCCCCTTTTTTTTTTTTCCCTTAATGAAATTTCCATATTCTGCTACCATTTTGCACCTTTCCCCCCTAAAACTGATCTGTTTGTCTGTGTACTTAGTATTTCCTGTCTCGATATGACAATAGATCTAGACTTTTAATTAAACCCACACTTGATCCCAATCCTCCTAGAACAGGTTATAGTAGATATGAAAGAGAGAGAGTGACTAAGGAATGGAGTGGCGCTTACTATTCTTAGCTTTCTAGCTTAGCTATTAAGGAACTTATAATTTTAGAAGCCATTGTTAACAACGTTCGGTCTCACCTGGTACCCAATCCTCCTAGAACATATTACAGTAGATATGAAAGAGAAAGAGTGACTAAGGAATTAATGCAATCAGCTTGTGAAAGAAAAATAAAATCAATAAGAAGGGAAAACAGAGAGCTAGTTCAAGCTAAAAAAAATAGCTTAAACACCCACAACTCAATCCCAAAGAATTGGTGAGGTAAAAAGCTACTGAAGCAGGCTGAATATATCGATAAATCGTCAAAAACTGCTGATTACAACTTGGAACAACCCTTTTATAATGCTCTGTTCGGTAGGAAAGAAAAAAATTGGATGGAAGGGAGAGAAGAAGGGATGGATGGACGAGGCATCTTTAGGGAAGAGATTGTGTATTTCATTCTTTTTGTTTGGTTGGATTGAAGAGAAGAGAATAAGCTCATAATTTACTATGTTCGTTAAGAGAGAATGAAAGAGAAAGTTTTAATTATTTTTACCATTATATCCAATAATATTTATAATATTGTAATTTATAGAGAATAGTAATGTAGTTTAAAATTAGTATAACTTAGGATAGTATTTAATTTAAAACTTCTATAATAGTACACTTGTCTTCCCTCCTTTCTTCCGCCCATTTTTGGGCGGATGAAAATTTGTAAAGGAGGAAGGATGGGTCATCTTTCCTATTCTCCTTTCTTTCCTTGTATCATCTCTACCGAACAAAGGAAATTCGTTCCTTCCTTATTTTCTAAACACACCTATGCCTGCCTTCCTACCAAACACAACATAAGACACAAGGGATGCTCTAGCAAAGATTAAATCCTAACCCTTCATATACATGTAATCTAAAGGCTAGTATTTTGTCTAGCAAATACTAAAATGACAAGACAGCCCTTAAATGGTCACATGACTCACTTAAAAGGCACATGACTTCTAAAATAAAATCATAATTACAAATCCTAAACATAAAATAACAGACTTAAGACTCGTATAAAAGACTCCATTCCCATAAACAATCTCACAATCTGACTCATCATCGGCTGCCCCTATTTATGGAAACTCAGTCTAGTCTTCTTAGGATGTTCAACTATTTGAAGATAGTCCTATTCCACTTACTCTGCATCAGGAATGGAATGAGAATTACTATTCTTAGCTTTCTAGGTTAGGTATTAAGGAAAGTTATGGTTAACAACGCTCAGTCTCATCTCAAACGGTGAGAGAGTAGGATCCCAATCCTCCTAACAATTACATGTAAATTCCCTTTTGAATCTCCTACTGGGTATTCAAAGTTTTACTTTTGTCATTTTCTTTTTTGGTGATACAATCACACCTGTTAGAGGACTGGGTGGATATAATAAGGTTGCATCATACACGCACGCAAATAAACAAAACAGTGTTATTGTGTATGGAGAACTCAATCTATTGTTTACTGCATTTAGTGTAAGAATCCGAATAGGTCTTTGTCTTCTTTTATCCTAGTTACAGTTTGTTTGAGTAGTTTGACGGTTGATAGTTCTTTTGACTCCTTCACATGGCATGGTTAAGGAATTTGCTTCTTCAGTTGCAAATGTATCTCCAGCAGTGTTAGCATTAGGAAGCAACACCTACTTTAATTAGTTGCGAGTGCAGAGGGTTTGCTTTAGACTTACTAAGTTTGTTTAGGAGACATTTTTCCGTCCGTATTGAAGGTTTGACACCCAATTTTCTGTTGAGAAAAGTGCCATGGGTCAATTATTGTTGAACATTATAGTCACCACAAATTTCAAAGTACTTGTAGGGGATTTAGATTATTGTTCCAATGGATACTCCTCTATAAAGTTCATTAATCTCTGATCTCATCAATTTACCTCCCATCTGTATGAATGATCGGTCTCAACTTGGGACAATGAAATGGTAATAGACGAAAAGCCAAACTTGACAGTGGGCTTAACTGATTGTAGGGTGGAGAAAAGAGGTTATGCCTCTGGATGATGGATTGATTGGTAGTGGGATCAATCAGGATTTAGTTTCATTCAGGATCGACATTCCCCAGGTGTGAAGAATTCGATGAAAGGCCTTCGCTGCAAAAGATCTCGGAATAGGTTGGATTGGAAGGATCCGGAGCCACAAGTATTTCAATGGGTTCAAAACCGAGATAGGATTTTCAATCCTAGAAGTTAAAGCTTGCCAAATCTCCCAAGTCTAGGTTCTCATGGGTGATCAGCATGATGGTTGTCGTTATTCAAGATTTTCATAATGTGTCGGGGACCATGTAGCTCAGAAGATGTTTAACACTTTGGTGTCTATTTTAGTTTCTTTATTGAGAAGGACAGTCAACTTTTGTTGAAGATTATATTCACCACAAATCTCACGGTACATGTACTGGTTTTGCTTGATGTGGCATAACTGATTGTAAGGAGTAGGGACAGTATTTTCAATCCTAGAATTTTATCTTTCCAAATCTACCAAGTCTAGGTGCTGAAGGGTGATCAATGTGATGATTGTTGTGATACAAGATCTTCATATTGTTACAAGTGTTTGAGACCGTACCTCAGAAGGTGTTACACCATTTAGGCTCTTTTTTAGCTTCTTTACCGTCACAGATGTATCTTACTCTTGCTTATTAGTTATTGATATCCGACTTTTTATAATTAAATTTCGCTAAACATCGAATAGAAAAATAAGACAATTTAATTGAAAGGTTTTTTCTTATGTTTCTACTGTGGCTTTTGGAGAGTTGAGGCCGTGTTTTATAGCTTTGATCTTATGTTATACATAATCTAGTATAGTTGGTTTATATTTCGTTGAAGTTTCAAAATATGTTCCATTTTTTGAACTTTTGGATAGCTTAAGTTGGAATTTTTGCTTCATGAAACCTGGTTATTTTCTTGTTAATAGAATTCAAATGATCTTAAATGGCTACATTTTGGTTGAGCATTTACTATATTAATCTAGAGTAGTTATGAGGTAGTTTGTAAGCATTGTATCTGCATCACTGTGCCCCTCTGGCTTCATCCTGAACTATTTTAAACTTGCAGAATTTGTGCCCATGAATATGAGAAGCGTCAAGAAATGGCTGCCGCTGCTTTGGCCTATAAATGCATGGAGGTGGCATACATGAAGGTTGTTTATTGCAAACATTCCAGTACAAGTAGAGATAGACATGAACTGCAAGCCAGTTTACAGGTGGTTCCTCAAGGTATGAATTAAACCACGATAAGTTTAGACATACATGAAATCCACATTCTTCCTTTCAGGTGGCATAATCCTATTTAATTATGTTTATTCTCACTATATGTTGTGGGGAAAACATGGTCCACACTAGTGGTGGAGGAGGAGGAGGAAGGGGGGGTGGGGGGGGGGGGGGGGGGGGGTGGGGGTGCGCGGGGTGTTGGTTGGTATAAAGAACATGCATGAAGAAGTTTGTATGTGCTAGTGCCATGAAGAAATTTGTATGTGCTAGTGCCCTTCCAACAATGGGGAAGGAAAAAAACAAGGGAAATTAAATAGAGGGCAGGAGGAAGTGCTATCATTGGGAAAATTTTACAAATTTGTACGTAATCCTATTCCATTTTTCCATACTTACTTTTGGTATTATGAGATTTTTTCTATCAGGCAAAAATGCTTGTTACACAAAAGCATTTCTAAGTTGTAAGTAATTGTGACATAGGTCCCATATCTATCTGTATGCAGAAGAATTCATGGTTCTTTTTGGGAACTAAATTGCCCTTCAGATTTCTTGCAGAGTAAAATATTATTACATTCTTCTAGTGATTAGAAATTTAAAAATTGGTCAATTATCTAGTAGAAAATGCGATATTCAACCCAATGCTACAATTTTTTTGCTTCATTTTGGTGATTTTTATTTTTGGGTTTATATCTAATTTCTTGTTGTCAATGCACCAGTTTTTTGCCACATCATTTTTTTGCTTTATTTATTTATTTTATTATATATATATATATATATATATATATTATTTTTTTTTTTAATTTCGTAACATGAACTAAATAAGTAAATCGTCTTTGGTGACTTGGAGCTTATTATCAATCAAATCACTGGTGAGTGGCTAGTGAAAGACTCCAACCTGGTTCCCTACAACCATATCTAGTCTGAATTTGATTGCTAGCTGAATGCTATTGTCTCAAGCTTAAAACAAGATTTTGTGTAGAAGTTTAATTAGAAATGTGGGGCCTATAGTCTCTCATATGTTCTCCTCGTTGCGTACTTGTACACGGTATAAGAGCTTTTTTGGTTTTGAGAGGTCCTGGATTTAAGTTTCTCCATTTTGTGGTCATTTGTGGGGGGCTATGGGAGCCTGATAGACATTATTGTGTCCATTACCTCTAGTGATCGAATTTTGGTGCAAGTGGTACTCAGATCCATGTTTTACTAATGGCTTTTGTGTTTTCTTGGAGACTCGTTTACTAGAAAAGCAAGAAATGGGATATTTTTGTTATTTAGTGTTGACTTTCCCCTTAAATTTCTCCATAAGATTGTCCATATAAGTTATCTAAGACGAACTTTGCCTAAGGTCCCACCTTGTATCTAGCTACTCCTGAAAACAGTTTGGTACTATGGCTACTACAACTGCCGGATTGTTTGTCTTTAATGTTTAATTGCTGTTCTGGGGATTTATTATTTTTACCTACTGGTCCTACTCTTTATCGTAAAATTGGAATGCTATTTAGACTTTGTTCGTCATTATGACCTAGTTGGGATGCTTTCTCTTCCTTCTCTTTCATTGTCGCTTCAGCCTTTTGATTTCTTCACGTAGTTGTATGCACTTCAGCGATTTTCATTTTTACTGATCAAACTTTTAATGTATGATCCACCTTTGAGTGTGTGGGAGGGGTGTATGATCTCTTGTATTTTATTGAATTATCCTAATGGTATATATTTTTATGATGTTTACCTTCATAACAATATAATGAACATTTTCCATGTATTTGCCTCTTGTGTAACATGCACAATACTACGCTAACTTTTATTGATCATAAGCAGAACCCTGTCTGCTACTATCATACGTAAAATGGAAAGGACATGACACTCTTTCATTTTGATGCAGCGAATTTGATCATAAGAAACACTCCCATCCTTTTCTCCCGCTTATGTATGATATGAGGGATTGTTTTTAATAACTTTGAATCATAACTAAATGTGCCAACTAGTTTAATTGGTAAGCTCTCATAGAGCTCATATTAAAGACATTCAAGTCTTCCTAGTAGCTCTTGAATTCCTCATCCTGCTAACACTTGATTGACTTGCAACATAAAGGAAGCGTGATTTCATGAGAATGATATATAAGAAAGCTCTCTATTTATATTATTATTTAAAATTTTCCTCTATATTTTTATATTTTTAAATGCATTTATATTACACTTGAAAGGGAACAATTAAAAAGGATACACGTTAATGTGGACTTGACTTAGTTATTGTAACCAGTAAGAAATGTTTAGTATATTGGGCAGTGGTTTAAATCTAGAACAAGAATTTTGGAACTTCTGGATGCCAAATCATCAAGTTGGGGTGTATGTTTAAATTTTAAGAAATATGGAAGAAGTCATAGCTAGTAAAAAGTCCCTTCTTTATCCCTTGTCATACCCTCTATGTGATCAGTTAGACTGATAAATAAGCATGTCTTTGTGCTTTTGATGTAATTTTTAAAGAAACACTTTCGAGGACATTATTAATGTTTGTATGACACTTTTTCTGATCATTTCCTTAGGAGAATCTCCATCATCTTCTGCATCAGATGTTGATAACTTGAACAATCAAGCAATGGTGGATAAAGCTGGTCTATCCAAGGGCATTGGTTCTCATGCTGGAAACCATTTTATCAGTGCTCGAAACCGTCCCAACTTTGTTCGGCTCCTTGATTTCGTAAGTTGATAGTTAGTGGGGACAACATTGAACAATGTCGAGATTTATTTATTTTTTTTATAACAAAATAATAAAAATGAAATCTTAGATATTTGTTGATACTATTTTTTTTTCAATACATTTTGACCTTGCTCAATCAGTTTTCATGTTTGAAACTTTGTATGAAAATTTCTTTTGATATATGAAACGATCCCAATAAATTACAAGACTATCGTAGTTTCGATAATTTGAAATTCCAATTGAAAAAAAAAAACACTAATCTATTGATCATAACAAAATCCTTATCACTTTATTTTGTAACTTAAATGAAATTTCTGTAGAAAAGAGTGAGATTGGCCTGATTGGGTGAAAAGGACATTAAAGATTTTTCTTAGTGACTTGGGGTCAAGAAATATATTGAAGGAGCCTTTGATGATTCTCTTTTCTGGTTTCCGCCTTGGAGAAAGATTGATTTTTTGTGATAATTCTGAAATAGGGGCAATTTTTTTACAATTTTAAGAAAAGATTTTTTTTTTTTTTTTTTGACAAGTCAATTTTAAGAAAAGATTATATACTCCCTCCATCCCAATATAATTGTCCATCTTCCTTTTTGGGCTGTCCCAAAATACTTGTCCTGCTTAAAAAGTCTAAGTAAGATAAATGCATCTTTTCAAAATACCCTTGAAGTTTTCAAAAACTTTCAACTTGATTTTATATATATACATACACATTCAAACTTGAGAGGGTAACTTAGTAATTTTAAAAGGGGACAATGCATTAACTGCATGTCCCCTTAAATAAGTTCTACTCCCCAAAAGGCTCAAATAATATGTGGGACGGAGGGAGTACAAAACTAAAATGACACAAATGTTGAGTGGAGGCGATTGCCCCCACTCATCTCAATGTGGCTACGCCACTGAGGTATGATCTCTGCTTCGTTTACGTGAACTTTTTTGAAAAATAATTTGATAATGCTTTATATTTTACAAACTGTCTGAATGTGTGAAGTACCCGTTTCGGGTGCATGACATTTCATTATGAGTATAGGTATGTGTTTAATGTCTGATTGGAATAGCATCTAGGAAGCATATTTCATAATTCAAGTTTGTTACTTTATTATATAATTATACATAAAACACTACTATTATGTTTCTTCTGTTATATTTTTACTTCATAACAAGTGTCCATGCTGAACACCAATTTTTTTTTTATTTTTTATTTTAAATATGGTTGGGTTTGGATATTTTGGTAAATCGAATGTTTAGAAACAGACTTGGATGAATTCATGCAATGTAGATGATGCGAGAAGGGGTATAATTCTAATAAAGGGAAGGAGATCTGATAAATTTATATTATTCCATCTGCCATCAGTTTAAACGAAATTTTGGTTATTTTAATTTTTGTAATTTTTATTTTGGGTTAAAATTTTCTAGTTGCATGTACTGGTCTCAGGATTGGTTGTCGTTTTAGAAACCCTTTAGTTGATCTTGGTATGGTCACATATGCAAACGTTGGACATTTGATAGAATTTAGTCTACAGATTGGTATATGGTGGGCTTTTATTTATTTGTAGATGATCTTTTTAATAAAAAATATTATGAACTTTGGTTTGGACATTTATTTATAGCTGACCATTTGCTACTTGTCTCTCTCAAATAAAATCAGAGACTCAGCTCTTGTTTGATGTGCACATTAATGAACTTTCAACACATAACTGTTTTGCAGACAAAGGATGTAAATTCTGCAATGGAGGCTTCTAGGAATTCCCAGAATGCTTTTGCCGCTGCTAATGTTATTCTGGAAGATGGTCAGAATAAAGAGGGCATTGTTTCTGTTAAGAGGGTTATTGACTTTGGCTTCCAAGACGTGGAGGAACTCATACGTTTGGTGAAGCTTGCAACTGGGGCCATCAGCCGCCAAGGTTTTAGTGGCAGTAAAAATTAAGTGAAACCTTGTATATATTGAGCTTGTTCCGTTTATTTACCTGGCGGAAAGAAGGATGATAAGGGGACAGAAGCGCATTGGACTTGCACCTGGAATCTTGCGAAGAGACTGGACAATAACAGCTCATTACCTTTCTGTACATGTGTACAAAATGAGATTGATTTGAAATATTCATAATGTATTAGTAACGTTCAGCTTATTTTTGACGCGATAAGAGGGCATTGCATGCTCACCCTTACATTTAATGGGGTTGGGAGGGATTGTGTAAATCTTCTAGTTGTTTGGTGGACTTGGAGGTAATGTGAGAGTGCAGTTTTAAATTTTTTAGGCTCGATTAATTTGGAGCCGGAGGAAGATAGTATTATAGAGATTAGGAACTTTAGGCAACATAGCTGAGGAGGTTGAATTTTGATGTAGTTCTGAGTTATGACTGGTCCATTCTTATAAAGGACTTCATGTTTGTTACCATGTTGTTCATCTTATTTGGAATAGAAAGCCAAGTTTTTTGGGAAGGTTCTCTATATGTTTGTAACTTTGTCAAGGTTTACCTCCTTTTCTTTCTTTTTTAAATAAATGTAAACCAACTGTGCCATTTCCCTCACTTGCAAATGATTTCAATCTGCAGTAAATAGAGCAAATGTTGCAATTCAGTATATAACTAAACATCTACCATTACTTTGGTGATCTCCTCTTACCTATCTTCTAACCTTAACAATTGCAGTTTTATATGTTTTTATCTCTGTACAAGTTGCTTAGATCATATTGCTTTCGTTGATCGTTGTAATGCTTGTCTTTCCATTGTCTATAAGGAGGATTTTGAGGTACAGCAATAAAATTTTGCACCTTTCAGAATGGAGTCCACACTCTAGCAGCTTGACTCTATGTTGATTACTTTCCTTGTCCAAGGTTTGCGAAGTAAGTATGTTTTTTTAAATGTGGTATGTGCTTAATAGACTCGTACCTTTTATTTACTCTGGTGGTTGTTTACTTCCTAACACATGTTTCTGCTTTTAATGTGGACAGCAGGGAGTGGTGTTTGTGTGAATTTGGCATGCAGCAGTGGACCAAATTCGAGTTTTTATCAGCACATATAGAGCCTTTTGCAATTGTGCTGCAATTCCAACTTGAACTGCGTAGAGATCTTAGAGGTAAGACTATAGTTTCATTCATTTTATAATTGAACGGTGTTGAAATATTGTAAGCTGTTCTTTTTGTCTACCTGAGCAACATTCTTGACTGGAAGGTGGAGATCATCCGTTTATTCGTTCTTTTTAATATATATATATATGTGTGTGTGTGTGTGTGTGTGTCTGTTCTTTCTGTGGTGAAAGGCTCCTCTTTCCAATTTCTAATTAATTCCCCATATAGTTGTTTCTTGTAAACAGGGCTGGACTTGGGTTCCATTCCTTTGGGGGTTGGGGTAGGAGGGTAAAGTGGCAAAAAAAAAGTCTTTTTGTTGGTCCAAAGGGGACAATGGGCTAAATAATGGGAATTAACCCATTAACATCGACTTAAGATTAGTTATAGAAGGGATTCGTGGAGGAGTGGGGGGCTTTTCACGATAGTCATAAAATCAATCCTTACTGGAGGTACACTCACGTGTGGAGTTGCATCTTCATCAACACCAGTGCCAGTTCTTCCACCCATTCCGCCGCAGAGTAGAGATCAAATTGCAGTTCTCCTTGACAATTCTAGTATTTCCACCCATTCCGCCGCAGAGTGGAGATGAAATTGCAGATCTCCTTGACAATAATAGTATTGCCTCTTGTCAGCGTGCGATATCTTGTCTCTAGGAGAGGTCGTCTAGATTCAGATGACGTGGATTACGGAGGATGAGTTTTGCCGCATGGACCCAAACTTGTTAGCACATTATCATATCCTGATGAGCGCCATGGTCTACCTACTTATTATAGGCGTAAGCATAGAGGGTAATTTTAGGATTTATTTTGTATATATATTTTTGTCTAGATATATATATGTGTGTGTGTTTTTGTAGTAGAGTTCGATATGGATTGTATTCGATGCTTATGTATATCTGGGTTGTGACATTGAGTGAATACCTTCCGAAGATTATTGGCAATTAATTACAGATTTTACATAGATTTACTCCCTCCTGAATTTATTGGGAGCTTTTATTCTGAAACTTCTCTCTCATCTTTCTCTTCTACCCTCCCTCTCTAATGGCTCCTTGAAATAATTTCTTTCAGGATCTTAGTGGTGATACCTTGTTCTTGCTTAATTCTGCAGCAGTTACTTAAATTCTCAATTTGGAATGCCATTTGCGCTCTTGTATCTACTATTATTATCTTCTTCATTAATTATATTATTATTATTCTTTAGTTGTGTTGTGTTGTGTGTGTGTATAGAGCATTAAAGTATAAAAGCCACCATATTGTTGCTGGCAAATCCTATGCAACTTGTTACTATAAAAGAACTGGACAGTAGTCCAGTTGATTAAATTTTTTTTCCCTTTCTTTCTTTATTTGTTTCTAGTTCGTTTTTTCGTTCAGCTCTCATTTATTACGATTGAGAACTATATTCAAACATTCATGCATATGTTTCAGAACTATATTCAAATATTATTCACACAAGACTATGTTTCCATTTCTACTGCTAGCATGTTGAGGTAGGAGGGGCTTTAAATCTGGTTATAGTTGGTAATGCCAATGGAGCACTAGTAGTAGCTTTCCATGTTAATTATGAAATTGTTTGTGATGCTTGCACAATTAGTGTTTGGTATATTGGTAGATTCAATTGGCTCTTAAAGTTCTCTTTGGCAGGAGACACCATATACATCAGTGGCTCCAAATCTTGGATGGGTGGGCACGCGGAAGCCGGTGGAAATGCCGTATGGAGGGGACTGTATGACACCATTGTTACAGTCTAGCCAACTAAATAATAAGATAGGGTAAAGTGCAAGAAATCCCTGTTAAGACAAAAAAAATATCTAGCGTTTTGTGCACATTTTAAAATCATATTGTCACTTTGTCTTTCAGAGAAAGCTTCCCCTCCCGCAAAGTTCTCAACACAGAAATGGAGGAAGCTGGTATATGAGTAGATGGACTGAATCATGAATTGAACCAACAAGGTCAGACTTGCACAAAGAGAATGAAGGTTATATAATCTCATTTATTTATTTATGCTCTGCTCCAAGTCAAAGAGAGAGATTACAGTTGCTGGTTTGAAAATTACAAAACAGAGCTAGATGTTTGCATCATTACAATTGAAAATCATTAATTTACCCAGTTGAACTAGTTTACAAATTGTAAACAAAACCGAGACTAATTGGACTTCTCTCCCAGATAAACAGAAAATGGCACATCACATCAAGCCTTAACCACTACTAAAACAGAGAAGTCAAATTTGCTCGGAGAGTAATGAGTGTGAATTGATTGACATGGTTGTATTTCAAACAAAAGCAAATCCACTACCCAAGAGTAAACACAGGAGAAACCAATCTGTAGTTCCGGAATCAAAGATGTATGCGTTCATCATTTTCCCATATCCTAGTTACTTTGAAAGATTCAACTTCTCTTGATGTAACTCAGGATCTTCTTCCTCGTATTTTTTTCACGTAGTTCTTTAGGAAGTAACTTTCATCAGCCTTTAACATCACACGCAAGCTAAATTTGTTGTTAAGCAAACATTTGGACAACAGAATTTGATAAACCAAATACCTTGGAATGATCCTCCTCTCCAAGCTCAAGGAAACAAGCAGTGGCCAGTGGCCTCCTCGCGACAAAGGAAGACTCCCAACCCACTTTATTGACAAAAAAATCCATTATCCCCATAATCTTATCCTCGGACGCCATCATACACCCTGGATGCTGCTGAAAAGCCACCAAAATCATCTCTTCGGACAAACCCCACTTCTCACAATCTCCTTAAACCTATCCGTACCAGTCGTGAAAACCATAGGTTGACCACGATATACGTTTCAGGCACACCTGATTCTATCAGAACTTCAATATTGGGTGCCGCGTATATGTGAACATCACGCAACAACAGGTCAGCAAAGCGTTTTATAGCTGCAATTGTTTTTTCTTCAGACTTGAGCAACTTGTTGAAGAAATTGTATGATGGGATTATTTGATTTTCCAAACTCCTGAACAAAATTATTGGTCTTGCAGTCAGTATTTTGGCAATGTCTTGGGTTGAAAAGCCTTTAGAGTGGAAAAATACGATTTTGGGTAAAAGGGTTTCGTCGGGGTCGGACAAGAGTACCCGAGGCTATCTTCTGATGAGAAGTGAGATCTGGGTTTCGGTGAATCCATGGCTGCTGAAGAATGCGAGAACAGAGTCCAATTAGTCTAGGGTTTTGAAGTTCACGTACTTCGAGGCTGCAACAAGAGCCTTTTCTGGAGGAAACCCACATGATTTTATAAGGTAATCGACTGTGAATGAGTGTTGATTTGAAGTGCGAGATGTGGATTTGGGTGTCGATGATGATTATGGGCAGTGTTGAAGAAAATGCAGTTTGTGGGTTGGTGAAGTTGACACCAATGTAGGGTGTAGGAAGGGAATAAACTCGAACATGTGTCCTCACACTTGGCATTCCAATGTTTGACCACTAGTTAGTATGTTGGTGTCCAGTCTTTCTTTAGATTTCTCCTCTTCCAAATTTTGCTGCTAACAACTGCCACAAGGTTTCTATTTCTCTATATGAATTCCTGAATCCTGGCTCAATTAGAATCTACGGATCTTTCAATTCCTTGAATTATGATCATCTCTTTTTTCAGACAACCTAGACAACCTTTTGCGTGGTTGCATCAAAATCCAAGCAACAAATGAATAACTCACTTGACATCTAATTCACTTGACATATAATGCTCATAAATTTTTATATAATGAAATATAATTCACACTGTGATAATATAAAATGAATTTTAAAATTTTGCATTGTACCATGCGGTTCAACTATTTATTTACTATTGGTTAAGTTTCAATTTTATATGCAAAACAAAATCTTTTTCCATTTATACGCGTGCAACGGAATATATGAGCCACAGTGAAAGTTTGATTCTTTCTTGTCCTCTTAAACAAACACGCATGATAACTACCAAATAGCTCATGTCACATGGCATTAAGAAGAAGTAATTACATCTGTTTTGGATCATGGCACTAGGAGAAAACCCTGTTACAGAAATTACAACAGTGCCCGTCAAAGAGAGAATGAATAACTCAAAGCTCCTTGTGACATACACTAGTATATCTAGCTTTCATTTTCGTTTTTGGAAATCACTGTTTCTAGGTACTAACATTACACCAATGTAATCTATATATATATATATATATATATATATATATAACCTGCACGAATGCAGCAGACCTTGTTGCTCTCCAGATTCTGGTCATACTGGGGGAGAGCTTTGGGAAACCCGAACTCGCCAAGCAAAATATTGAATATAGAAGGAGTTGAGGCTCATTGCTATTCCGAAGCACAAAATTGAGGATAGCATTATTGCATAAACCGCCATCAAACAAAGCTGCATTGAGAAGTTAGAGCTATCAT